CTGTCCACCAACATTATGTTTCTCATTCTTTAGTTAGGAGTATAGAACAGTATAGAGACAGTGATCGGGCAGTAGGACAACGAGGCCAGTCCAGCGGAGTTGATGGCATAGGAGAATCACTTCAATGCTGGTAGTCTTTGCTTCTTCCAACACACTGACATTTGTCCACCTATCTTCCCAAGAGATTAGCAGGATTTTTCAGAGGCAACGCTGATGGAATTGTTCCAGGTGTTGAGTGTGACGTCTGTAGACAGTTTACGTTTCACAGGCGTATAGCAGGGTTGGGAGGACAATAGCTTTATAAACAAGAACCTTGGTCTCCGTATGGATGTCCCGGTCCACAAACACTCTATGCCTCATTCAGAAAAATGCTGCACTCACAAAGCTCAGGTGGTGTTGTATTTCAGTGTCAATGTTGACTTTTGTGGAGAGGCTGCTGTGAAGGTAATGGAAATGGTCAACATTTTTTAATGTTACACCATCAAGCTGTATTTCTGGCATTGCAGAATGATTGGCTGGTGTCTACTGGAAGAACACTTCGGTTTTCTCAATGTTCAACGAGGGTCGAGCTTCTTGTATGCTTCTGCAAAGGTGTTTAGAGTGGCTTATAGGTCTTCTTCTGAATGTGCACAGACAATGTTATCATCAGCATATTGGAGTTCTGTAACATATGTTGTTGTACCCTTGGTTTTGGCTTCAATCTGCTGAGGTTAAATAGCTTGCCATCTGTCTGATAGATGATTTCTACTCCAATGGGAAGTTTCCCATCAACAAGATGAAGTATCATAGCGATGAAGATGGAGAATAGAGTTGAGGCAATAACACATCCCTGTTTGACACCCAATTCCACTTTAAATGGGTCACTTTGGGAGCCATTGCTGTCCAAGACTGTTGCCATCATGTCATCATGGTGGAACCGCAGGATGTTCACAAATTTGTCAGGGCACCCGATTTTTTGGATGATGATCCAGACAGCCCTGTGATTAACTAGTTATTTAGACAGTTGGGGAAAAGGAGGTTTATCCAGTGAGTCCATCGTTACACCATCCATCTGCAAGGATTCATTGATCTCTGTACAAACAGTAAATTAAACTTCAGTATGAATATGCATAGTTTTTAAAAAAAGACCACAAAAGGATGTAGCAATACTTATCACTGAGGGTAAATTAAAGTTTAAGTAAACAATAGACAGGTAAGTATTCAATATCCCAGAACACTTTGTACCGCTTAGCCCTTCTTCATGAGAACATTGTTTGCACAAATAGGTACATACACTGCATTAATTAGGTTTAATTATTTTAAATTTGTGAATCATTGTGTGCTGTTTTCAGTTGAAAGCACTTCTGCCAAATGAAATTTTATGGCAGAGCTACATCTGTCAACTAAGGCTATACTTTTATAGCCTAACACCATATAAAAAAGTTCACAGCCTTACAAGTCCAAATTGTGGAGAAGCCCATTTCTCTCCACAATTACTTGGAAATATCCTTCATTCTGGAAATATCCTTCATTCTGGAAATAGTGTCCTATAAATGAACATTGGGAGTTTTTATAGTCTTGAAAAAGGCAACATGAACGCTGAATCAAAACAGTAAAGGCAGCTCTTTGAAGCCAAAATCCATGCCTAGAATTAAGAAGAGCAGCTGTTTTATAAGGAGCCAGGTTAAGCCTGGGATAATTCCTTTCCTTTTACTGCAGTGGTAGTTGTGGGATTGTAGGAATTGTTGTAGCTCAATAGGAACTTTGGGGGGGGGGGGCTCTGTGAGTGAAAGTGAACTTTTTGCATTATCAACAACTACAAGGGATTGAAGCAAGAGGCCAGTCCAAGACTGTCCATGCCATGAGTTTCCAAGCCAAAATTGAATGACTTGGGACAACCCTTCATAATGTCATTATGTACTGAAACCAGTTACTCATCATTTGTCATTCAAACACAGAGATAGAATCTTAATTTGGAAATTAAAGACCTTATCCAACCCTAAATTTCTCTAATTTTCTCACCATCTTTATGCGCTGGTGTAACAAAGGCCAACGTAGGTCTTCCCAAAACACACAGCCACTTTTGGTGGTTCTGAATTGAAATCTGCCTCACCAGCATGAGAAGATGGAGAGAAAAGTCTGTTTTCAGGAGTGGGTTGTTCCCCCGACTTCTGATAGAAGACAGCGGAAGGAAGCTGAGGAAAGTGGGGAAATGTCGTGGGAAGGTTGGCAATCCCCAAAGATGGGTCTTGCCGGGGTAGATTAAAGGTAAAGGTTTCCCCTGGACATTAAGTGTGGTCGTGTCTGACTCCGGGGGGTGGTGCTCATGTTCATTTCTAAGCTGAAGAGCCAGCATTGTCCATAGATGCCTCCAAGGTCATGTGACCAGCATAACTGCATAGAGGGCCATTACCTCCCTGTCAACGTGGTATACCTATTTATCTACTCACATTTGCATGTTTTTGAACTGCTAGGTTGGCAGAAGCTGGGACTAACAGTGGGAGCTCACCCCACTCCCTGGATTCAAACTGCTGACCTTTTGGTCAGCAAGTTTAGCAGCTCAGCAGTTTAACCCACTGTGCCACCAGGGGTAGATTGCACCACCACTATTAAGGATGCTTTCCCCCACTTTCCTCCTGCCCGTGGGATGTCTCATGATAGAAATCTTAATGAAAAGGGCTATTTCCAGATCAAGGTGAAACTGAGGAAATTATTCTTTCACTTTCACATAGAGAGATGAGATAATGAATTCACTTGCTTCTATCCAGAAGATGGATGCAAAGCAGAATGGGTTGGGGGGGGGGTGTATGAGAGAGCTTTGACACCGCAACAACTGCAAAAACGAGAAAGAGGAAGCAAAATAAAAAATTGTGTAGATTCCTGGAGAATCTTTATATGTTCTAGAAACCAACCAAAGCTGTTGCTTTACTAGTTGAGCTGTATATTTCCATTTGCCTGGATGTGAACCTGCCAAACTGGAGAATTTGCAACTTTGTTACCTGCCTGGAGATGACCTGTGAAATGTGGAGACCTTATTGCTAAAGGAGGCCCAATTGTGATCCATATATTAGGAAATCACATATATTCATTCCAGACGCCAAAGCACATTTTTTGATATGCCAGTAATGCCCCCCCCCCCCCCCGAACTTACTTTGACAAGAAAACAAACCAACGCAATTGCTAGTTTCTTGGAAATACTCAATCCTCCAAGAACTGGGGTGCCCAAAATGCTCTGGTGAGATTTACATGAAGCTCTGTGATAGTGGATAGTTCCTATAATCTTTCAATCATTTAGTTCTACGAACTCATTTGTTCTTTATTTGGATGTCTACTGAGTTAATGTTGTTTTGGCAGAGATCCTGTTCTGTTTGGCCTGGGAATTGACTGGCTTTCTTTTTGAAAGACTGCCAAGTTTTTTTTTCCTTTCTTAAACCTAGTGTTCCTCCTCTGTTGCATAAATTGTTATGTTTTGCAGCTTTTGAATATGCTAATATTTCTACAGTTCCATCAACTCCGCACACTTGAAAGTGTGTAAAATTGCACACTTGAAACAGTTATTGGTGCCATCATGTTTAAGCAATCTCTTTTTATCTGTGCTTTAGCTTGATAATGGCCTATTTTTTACTTCCTAATTTTAAATATGTTACAGACATACCCAAGTTATGAACAAGATAGATTCTGTAGGTTTGTTCTTAAGTTGAATTCCTATGTAAGTCGGAACAGGTAAGTGTTAACTCCAGTCATATAACAACAACAGCACCTTAGTTGTACTCCGTCCTATCTCCCTGAGGGGACTCAGGATGGATTCCAGCGTATACAGACACATGGCAAACATTCAATGCCTCGAAACAATGAAATACAGATACACAGATGAAGGTAAAGGCTTCTCCTTCAACTCCGGCTCTGTGGGGTGGTGCTTATCTCCAGCTTTGGGGGTGGTGCTCATCTCCATTTCAAATCTAAAGAGCCTGTGTTGTCTGTGACACCTCCTAAGTCATGTAGCCGGCATGACTGCAAGGAGCTCTGTTTGCCTTCTCTCCGAGGCAATACCTATTGATCTACTCACATTCTCATGTTTTCAAAATGTTTGGCAGAAGTTGGGGCTAACAGCAGGAGCTCAACCTGTCCCACGGATTCGAACCGCCAACCTTCTGGCCAGCAAGTTCAGCAGCTCAATAGTTTAACCTGCTGTGCCACCACAGCCCCCATATATATATATATATATATATATATATATATATATATAGAGAGAGAGAGAGAGAGAGAGAGAGAGCTTTGGATAGCACAGAAAAGAGTTAACACCTCTGTGGTGTTTGTCTTGCTGCCTGTACCCCAAATAAAGATCTTTAATTATTCATCCTGACACAGATCGCAACTCTTCCATTTAAGACAAGAGCTCAGTGTTAAGGAATGGTTCATTATTTACAGCCCAATTTGACAAACTATGTACTGTATGTGTTGGGCTGGATATCGTGTTATGAGAGTTGTGATCCATTATTTCTAGAAGATGTCAGGTTGAGACTGCTGTGTATAACCTGGTTACATAGAATGTCTTTGCAAATAAGCATCGGTTTCTGAAACATTATATTCCAAGCTCAGGAGACATGTCTTGCCATTTCAGGGCAAAGCTTCCCACTAAGCCATTCCTGCTGTGAAATCTGTCCCACTAACTCCTGTTAGCTCCCTTTACTATTGATAGTTGATGCATGCTGATTGGAAATGCATACATCATAAAACACCTCTTCATCCTGTGCTTATCTCATTAGCAGAAATGAAGATGAAGTGGGGTAAAGTCTATAATAAATGCTAATCCTTAAATAACATGAAATCATTGCAAGGTCATTGTGATCTGCCTGAAATGAAAACAGGGCTTCCAAATGGCATCTGATGTAACTGGAACCGCTACAATGTTCTTCTCGTTATGCTGCATTGTTATAATGTTATTACAGAATGACTGTAACAGTTGGTATTTCCAGATGTTTGACATTGTTTCTATGTATATGTGTCTTCCTTTACCTCAGGACATTCATTTATTCATTCCTTACAAGAGGAAGGCCTTTCCCACTGAAGACGCTGTATTTCGGTATGCTGTTCTGTACCTATAATGGCTTCCTTCAAGGTTACTACATGATTTACTGTGCTGAATACCCTGATGACTGGTGCAACAGCCTCAGATTTACATCAGGTAGTTATAGTTCCATGATGTCAAGCTTCTAGCCATTTGAGCTCTGCTAAAAGTGTGTAATCACAAAGGGCCCACCACAACATCTGTCTAAATGTCAAGGCTATAAAACAGCAATTTGAATAACAAAAGGAAAGAACATTTTGTAAAATTGCTTCACTTTTATGATGCCCCCAAATTTTTGTTTATCCTGAAACATCTTATATTAAAATGGTCTGTTTGTCATGAGGACCCTAAAAACAACAAAACCACTGGACCAAATGACAACAAATTTGGCCACAAAATGCCTCACAACCCAAGGTGTGACCAACGATAAAAAAACCAAAAGATCCCAGCAAAAGAACTTTAAAATCCTTAAAAAGTACACAACAACACAGCGCATGCGCACAAACAAAGCCATCGCCAACCATTCCTCCTCAGCACCCATTCCTTCACCAGTTTGCTTTTGCCCTTCCCAACAAGCATGTTGTGCTCCATTAGGAACGGAGCTTACCCTGGAGCACCAACTGGGCCTCAAAAAGTCAAGGGGAAGGAGGAGCAGGAAGAGAGAGAGAGAGAAGACTTTTCAATCTGCTCTCTTTCAAACCTCCCTCAAAAAGATATGGAAGATATATAAAGAGAGAGTGTGAGAGAGATGTGAGTGGGTATACACACACACAAGGACACGCACACATCAGTGGGTACACACATACACACACAGAGCGCCGAAAATGGTGTAAAAAGGCAGCACATGGGGAGGGAGAGTGAAGAACTCACAGGCCCCACTCCCACCCCATAGCTGAGTTCAGACTGCTCTTTGATTGCAGGTGAACTATAAATCCAAGTAACTTCCAAATGTCAAGGTCTATTTGAGTGTGGACTCAGATAACCCCGCTCAAAGCAGATATTGTGGGATTTTCTATCTTGATATTCTGGGATATAGGACTGTATGGAAGAAAGGAAAGAATGAAATAGAGAAGGAACAAAGGAGGAAAAGAAAGAAAGAAGGAAAAGGAAGGAAAGAAGGAAAGAAAGGGGGGGAGAGGGAAGGAGAGAAAGTAAGGAGAGAAAGAGAGAGGTAAGCTTGGCCACAACAATGCATGGTCTGTACAGCAAGTACTAAAATAAAATATGTAAAAACACATGTAAAAGATAAAATGTATGCATTTTGTATTGGTAAAATCCAACCATTAGAGGGAGTTATTTCCATTTCAATGAGTTGTTATTTAGGAGGCAGCTTCTGCATTTCTTCAGTGTTACCTTTGTCCTCACCCACCCTGATAACACTCCACCAGTACAAAAGATGCTCTAGGAATGGACTCAGTCAAATGAAGGCCTGATGCTTCCTGAATGACACAATTTATTTTATATTCTTAAGCGTCATTCTGTAGTTACAGTCACGGTCACTTATACCTGAAGTTTAAGCGTTGTATTCCATTAGTATAACTGAGGAAGAGGAACGTGAAATAGGCTTACAAATTGCTATCTTCCTTCCCTTCTTTTTTATTCCAAAAAGACTTGCTATCTTTCCATACAGGAGCTAAAACAAATACTATATATGTTATAATAAGTATGAGTTACTTCAAGACAACTCGACTGATAGCTGCCTTGAGGTGATAACTGAAGACAAGGGGAAAATAGATCCTGAAAGCAGCAGTGTGATTAAACCCACAGAACACAAGGAGTCTACTTCTGTTTATGAACTGTTTGCTAAACAAATATTCTTAACTCTGGATACTCTAAACCTGATATGCTCCAAGCTAGAATATATCCAGAAGAAACTAGAATGTACTATATATGTTATGTGCCTTCCAGCTGACTTACATCAACCCTCTCCTAAGATTTTTCATAGGATATATTCTGAATAGATTTGTCATTGCAGATGCCTTCCTATTGAAATGAGTAAGTCTGACTTGCTGAAGGGCACTCAGGGCGCATCCAGACGGCACAGGATAAACCCACTATTTCTAAAGTAGTCCAGAAAACTGTGGCAATACCCCCCCCCCCCCCACAGCCACCAAACCAATTTGAAAAGTAAAGAAAACTTACCTGGACTCCAGTATAGTTTGCAGCAGCTCTCCCAGCATGTAGAAATTACACGCCAGGAGAGGGAGGGGAGGGTGAAGGAATGATTTTCTTCTCCCTCCCCCTCTCTCCTGCGTGTAATATCTACGCACCAGGAGAGGTGCTGCAAGGCTTTACTGGAGGCTGGGTAAGTTTTCTTTACTTTTCTGAGGGGTTTGGAGGCTTTGGGAGAGGGAGGAAGGTCCCCTGATTTTCTGCCAGGCTAGTCCCAGCAGAACATCTGGACACCCACCCCAGAAAGCAGGCCCCCAGGATCATCCGTGTTTTTAAAATGTAAATGATCCTGGGATAAAGGGTTGTCTGGAACCACCCTCAGTAGGTTTCCATAGGTGAATGGAGATATATTTCCTATATTTTATTATTATTTAGTGGGCCACATCATATCTAATTTTGGAAGCTAAGCAGCATTAGCCCTGGTTAGTACTTGGCTGGGAGATCACCAGTGAATACCAAGTGCTGTAGGCTATATTTCAGAGGCAAAAAATAGTAAATCAATTTCTATTGAGTATTACTTGCATAAGAAAACCCCAAGAAATTCTTATGGTCACCATAAGTCTACAGATGACTTGAAGGTGCATACCCACATATGCCCACACATATTTATTCATATTTAGTAATAATAATAATAATTATTATTATTATTATTATTATTATTATTATCATCATATTTAGTAGGGAGACATAATTAATCATGTTTTAATAATACAACCAGTTGTTTAGATTGTGTTCATGTTGGTGTTGTGTTTGTATGTTTAAGTTGCTCATAACTTCTCAACTTTGCTTGCTCCCTCTTGTATCTCAAGACCCATATATTACATGCATATATATGTTTTTATTTACATTCAGTTGTGTTTCTGATTCGAAATGGAAAAGCTTGAACATTGGTGCCACAGCTTCTTTTTGTGCACAAGTTCAGTTAGGCATCCAGGTTTTGTTCAAGTGTTTATTTATTTGAAAATTGTGCCTAAGGTGGCTAAGAATACAATATAATCATCGCAACAAAAGCTATACTCAGAATACCAAAACTTCTCAATTACAAACATGTCCAGTTAAAAATGCAATCTTGGCCTCATGTGACATATACAGTTTCTAAGTTTGGGAGCAGTACCAAGAAAGCTCCTTCTGAAATCCCTGCCAATGGCACATTTATGGTGACATGAACGCAATAATCATCTGTGGATTGAAAATCCAGGCAGGACTACAGTAGGCACACACTCCATTATGGGGTTTCCACTGTCTATTATTTACCTCTGTAGAGCAATGCCGCTACACTTCATATGTGGCTGTGATGGATGATATTTCTCACACAAAGTTCCTAAATTCTCCTTATGCCCTGGAAAGATACTGAATGATAAGTTAGCACCTGAGCACAACATTCAATCTAACCAACACATTTTAAAAGAAGAAGAAAGAGGAAAACAATAGCAACTTTTTTTCATCAAAGGATAGATCCAGACTATGTCTTATCCCAGAGGTGAATGAGGGAGCAGCAACTTGTTACTGTTCTTTCTCTGGATGAGGTACAGTGCCTCATTTGTGTCTTCCTGAGAGGCCAAGGGCAGCCTGCCTGATGAATGTGGCCGGGATATTTTAATTGGGGTTAACAAAATTAACTGTTTAAACGTAAGTTTTAAAGCAAGAAGCCACCCAAAGCATACACACTTCCTTTTCTTTTTCTAGGTTTCTTGTTGTTTCTGTTTGGCATAGGAATCAATATCCACAGTGATCACATTCTGCGCCAGCTAAGGAAACCTGGAGAGTTCACATACAAAATTCCACAAGGTATATTCTTCTTCTCCAAACATCCCAGAGATAAACCCTGATTTTGGCTTATTGTTCAGAGGAGTTGAAGCAGCCTCTTACTCTGTGGGAATACATGGTCCAGCAGCAACTCATTGTTTCAGGAACTATTACAACCTGAAACATATAGTATGGTGCTTTCCTTGCTCCAGTCATTAATTACCCATGAGTGGGTTAAACCACTGGGCTGCTGAACTTGCTTACTGAAAGGTTGCAGGTTCAAATCCAGAGAGTGGCATGAGCTCCTACTGTTAGCATCAGTTTCTGCCAACATAACTTCGAAAACATGCAAAGTTAATAGATCAATATGTACCGCTCCGGCGGGAAGGTAACGGCACTCCATGCAGTCATGCTGGCCACATGACCTTGGAGGTGTATATGGACAATGCCGGTTCTTTGGCTTAGAAATGGAGATGAGCACCAACCCTCAGAGTCGGACACAACTGAACTTAATGTCAGGGGAAACCTTTACCTTACCTTGTATGTGCAACTGATAAACTTAAAAACCAGCTTTTACTATTCAAATGTGTTCATAATAACTATCTTTTATACAGGAGGACTCTTTGCATACATATCAGGAGCAAATTTTTTTGGTGAGATACTAGAATGGTTTGGCTATGCTGTAGCAACCTGGTCGCTACCTGCCTTTGCCTTTGCCCTTTTTACACTCTGCTGCATTGGGCCACGTGCTTACCACCACCACAGGTATTTCAATGATTTCTGTCTTTTATTGTTTACATACTGCCTGCCTAGGATGCCAGTTATTACTTAGAACTGATTCAGCATTCATTATGTGGTTCCTTTGGCATCAAGATTTGAATATACAGTAAATGGATGAATTATTTGTCACATATTGTATTACAAGGAGAAAAATTTCAAATTTCTTCACATTACAGGTATACTTCAGTTAACAAAGTACAGGCATTGCAGGCAAACATCAGTTAAGAAAGACTGTTTCTTCACCATCCTACCAAAGTCAGTCTTGATTTTAAAAAAATACATCTAGCTAGACAAAGAGGAAAATGGGTCTGAAGCTTCAAAAGGATTTGTAAAATGAACTTCTTGTCTGAGGCTTTGTTAACCAAGGTATGCCTGTATCTTGAAAGAAACTATAAAAGCAGTCCCCAGATTACAAACAAGATAGGTTCTATAGGTTTATTCTTAAGTTGAATTTGTATGTAAGTTGGAACAGGCATATTTGTAAACTGTAACTCTGGTAATTTTTTAAAATTATTTTTTTCTGTTTGGATTGCACAGGTAAGGATTAAAACCCCTATAATGTTTGTTTTGCTGTCTGTGCCTCAGTTCAGAAGATTTCACCTCATTTTCTGTCCCTGTGACATTTTGAAAATTTAGGCTTGTTGCGGAAACAAGGATTGGCAATAAAACTTTCGTGGAGACACCATTTTCCCATGATCATTCTTTCAGGAGTGAATTTCCCTTCTTGGGAGTAGATTGGTCACTTCCTGTTGCCTTGCCCCCATTTTTGCTAAGAGTTGTATTCAAGATGGATGTTTGTAACTTGGAAACTGCTGGTATAGTGACTGCTATATGCAACAAACAAATGGGAGCGAGTGAACTTTCGTGACACTTTAGAAAAGTTAATTCCTGTTTCAAAAGTGGAAAATGTGAAGCAACTGTGAGGATATACATCCTTTAATTATTTCCCAGTCAGATGTTTGGAATGCAAACTCAGCACTGGGAAGGGGGTTGTTCTGTTGAAATTGCTCCTCCTCTAATTCATAAAATCATTTCTTGCCTTTTGCACAAAACATTGCTGTTATTTATTCGTTCATTCCATCACTTCTGACTCTTCATGACCTCATGGACCAGCGCACACCTGTCCGCAGTTCCATCAAGATTAAGCCAGTCACTTCAAGGATGCCATCCATCCATCTTGCATTTGACCAGCCCCTCTTCCTTTTTCCATCCTTTCCCCCCATCAGCTTTCCTGTCTTCTCATTATGTGGCCAAAGTGCTCCATCTTTGCCTCTAATATCCTTCCCTCCAGTCAGCAGTCAGGCTTAATTTCCTGGAGTATGAACTGGTTTGATCTTTTTGTGGTCCAAGGCACTCTCAGAATTTTCCTCCAACACCACAGTTCAGTTACTATTCAAGGGCTGGTCTACGTAGGATGTATTGCCAGCACTGAATGAAAAGTCATTCATTAATAATAATAAACTTAATAATAAACTTTATTCATACCCCACCATCATCTCCCCGAAGGGGACTCGGGGCGGCTAACATGAGGCCAAGGCCAAAATTACAGTACAGCAAAATAAAATAAAAAGAAGCAAAACCAACATCAAAATAAAATACATGAAATAACAAAATAAAATAAACAATTGCAAAATAACATGATAGAAAAATAGAACACAGTGGGTGGGCCAAATGCACTAAGATAAAATTGATAAAATCCTGGATGAGATAAGTAGTGGGAGAATGTGTTTCTGAGGGAGGAGCTCAAAAGGAACGAACAATGGGGTTAGACCTTCATTAAGGGCGCGGGGAAAGTGCATCATGAGGACAGAAACTGTCATTGGAACACACAAAATATGGAATGTATGTTCACTCGCAAAAGGCACATCGGAAGAGCCAAGTTTTTAGGTCTTTCTTAAAAGCTGCCAGAGTAGGGGCTTGCTTAATCTCACTAGGTAGCAAGTTCCAAAGCCGAGGGGCCATAGTGGAGAAGGCTGTCTCCCTCGTCCCATATCACAAGTTGTACTTGTGATAAAGGTGGGGGTGAAAGGAGGGCTTCCCCAGAGGATTGGAGAGATCATGCAGGTTTATGGTAGGAGATGCAGTGACAAAGGTAGGCACGTCCCAAACCGTTTAGAGTTTTGCAGGTGATAATCTGAACCTTGAATTGGGACCGGAAGATGAATGCAACCAATGCAGCTAAGTAAGGTTAAATAAGGTTAATGAAGGTTGGGGGATATTCTGGAGTTTAAACAAAGCCCTGCACTTCAGCCACAGTGGTGACAGCACAATGGTATCTGATGCAGAATGGTTCACTGTCCACATTGGTCTCTGCTTTCATCCTCGTTTCCCTGCCATCATCAGTGCAATGAAAGGGAATGGATTGGGCCAATGTTGCCATCCCTACGGATAGCTGTAGAGCTCCAGGAGAGTTCCTGGCCATCCCTGGTCACATGGACGCCTCTCCTGATGTCATGGGATGCCCATAAACAGCTAGGAGCTTTCCCAAAGCTCTGGACCCATCTGCCAGTGGTGACAGGGAAGGGAAGGCAACAGTCCAACTTGGTAGAATCAGTTTTTGCCCAGCAGGATTCTGTAGATCACTGGTTCCCAACTTTTGGTTCTCCAGGTGATTTGGACCTCAACTCCCAGAAATCCCAAGCAGCTTGCCAGTTGTTAGGAATTGTGGGAACTGAAGTCCAAAACACCTGGAGGACCAAAGGTTGGGAACTACTGCTGTAGACTCTGCCTTGCTGCAGGCTGGGCATGGAATGTGTGGATAATTTGGACTACAACTCCCATCTGTCTCAGGTAACATAGTCAAGGGTGAAGGCTTGTGGATGTAGACAAAACAAGCCCAAAACTATTTGGAGGAACACTAGGTTAAGGGAAACAGATTTAGAGGTACTTACTTATTAGCCTGCTAATGTACATTCCAGTTTACCCAGAGATAAAACCAGGGCTCGTCTACAACTGAGATATATAAGAGTTTATCTAGACTTCCCAGGTATTTTAGAGCTGCTTATCTGTATTTGTTTTGTCTTCTCTGCACTCAGTTTAACTTCTTAAATTCACTCCTATCTCTACTGCAGCAACCTTCTGAAATGAAGGGCTGCTTCTAATTATGACTCATTATTTCATACAGCACACCAAATCATAGTTTCCAAACCTACTTCTGTTAAAGCTGTGATTTCTGTTTCATATTAGACAGCAAGAAATTATGGTTCAATACATCTGGAAGACATCAGGTTAAAGGAAGCTACATTAGACCTCGGTTAATCCTTCTTACTCATGGTTTAGTGTGATCTCTAATGTGATGTTCTCCTAATATTCACCATCCGTTCATGTAATTTGAATGGTTTCTGGTCCTAAATCATTTTTGAATATCCTTTCAAAGAAAAAATGGAGATCAGAAATATGCTTAATTTTTTTTTCTTAAAAAAACCGATATTAAGTTTTCTTAAAACATTCATACAAAGATATTATATGATGTAATATGGACTATTTGTATTTTTATATTGCATCCCTTTTTTTTTCAGGTACTATGTTAGGACATTCAGCAGCTACCCAAGATCAAGAAAAGCCTTGATTCCATTCATATTCTAAAAGGAAATTCTCTGGAATTTTTTTTCTGTGTGTGTGTCCATTTACTATCTAATTTTATTTTATGTTTTAGTAAGTGCAAAATGTCATTGTGTATTTCAAAAGAAAAAAATCTGTTATTGTGTAATATTATCCTGCATTGGTTGTTGATTCTGTATATAGATAATATATGCTTAAGACAAATGGATAATGTCTTCGGACCAAATTACAGGCCACAAAGGGTCCTGTGACTTTATTTCTAATGTTTGAACAAACTGTACTCTTCAAAACAGCAGCAACAGTGTGGTTAAGTATTTAAACATTTTCCACTGCACTTTTTTTCTTCATAATGGTTCCCCTGCTAACTGTTTTCCTTGCTACAAGAGAAAGAGATTATATCTTGGTGTCTTTTCTCTGGTAGATGGAAAATATCTGGAAGATTTGTCCCATGCAGACTGCACAGAAGAAATCATGGGGCTGCTAGGATGCACTTGAGGCAAAGCAGATCTAGCCTCAGCTGGCTCAGCTAGAATTACAAGACCTTAGATGGTTTCTCATTCATTTTTTGCACCAACAATGTCACTTAAAGCCTTATATTCCCCTCCCTGGCCATGACCATTCTTCTATAATTGGAAACCTTAAAGTCTGAAGCCTATGACCCTGTTATCTCCCACACTGGTGAGCAGGCTATGGGGAATAAGGGCCTCTCGTGTAAAAGGAATGATACAAAAATCATTTTTGGAGTACAGCTCATAAAATTCTCCAGCCAATCTGGCTCCTTCCCAGGTCTTGCAATCCAAACAATAACTTTTCCAAGATCTGAGTCTTTAGGGGTAGAGCTTTCTCTTCAGGGGAGTCACCATTCAAGGTTCTTTAATGGAAGGTGCCCTAGATCCATTGGCATGTGTTCTGGAGGCAGGAGGGAGTAGACATACCTCTGCTGTTTGCAGCACCGGTTTGTCTGATCTAATAGAATATTACTCCTTTCTGTCAGGTGTTGGCTGGCAGTGAATCCGATCCAGGTGTTTGTCTGTATTTCATATGAATTCTCTAAGATGCTGAACTCTATATGTTCAACACAGCAGATCACCTTTTTGGACTAAAATCCGGAATAGACTCATGGCTCCATGGAGCCATTCATAGTCGTTGCTCAGGATCACATCAAGAGGGTGGAAAACTTGTAGTGAAGAGATCATAGGACAGGAAAAGGTTGAGGAGGCCTCTCCAACACTCATGATTTTTGAAGAGGTGCTTTTAATTAGAAATCACAATAGCAAACCTGAAAAGTGAAAGAAATCATAGAAAACATGTCGTTTACCTCTTCCATATGCGAAGAATCACTGTTTATAACAATGCTTCTCAACCTATGGGTCCCCAGATGTTTTTGGTCTTCAACTCCAAGAAATCCTAACAGCTGGTAAACCGGCTGGAATTTCTGGAAGTTGTAGGCCAAAACACCTGGGGACCCACAGGTTGAGAACCATTGGTCTATAAGCATGTTTTTCCCCCCAGATCATTGTTGCTAAGACTTGATCAGGACTGCTGCTTTTGAATTGGAAGAATAACTGGACTTTTATCAATTCCTTCTTTCCAGATTAATCAGAAGGCATTGTATTTAAGAATCTTCCATTAGGAAAAAATCTGTTGTAGGGAACACGTGTTTACTCATAGCCCTTATATCATGCTCCTATGTTCCCTTCCATAATGACCAAGAGATTATTCCAAAAATGCAGTTTAATTCCAAGAACTCTTGACAATGTGAATAATTTTTCAAACATACTAGAACTAACTACAATCGAGAAAGAGTGTAGTGTTCCAAAAGCACACAAATTATTTAATTGGATCTGTCATTCCCTTGTAAAACATAGTTCATGAACTGCATGGGAAATCAAATAAATATCAAAACAGTGCTTGAATTTATTACAAACTCAGACTTTGGTTATGCTAAAAAGTTTTGTTCAGCATTCTGTTTTAGCAGAACCCTGTCCTAGTATTTTAGATTATTCTACGTGTGAATTTGTTTGTGGTCTGTTTCTGTTTATTCGTGATCTTTTCAAGATATCCTCTATTTCAGATGGTGAGAGTTTCTTGTATTTGAAACATGTGTTTTTGTTTATATTGAAAGATAAAGCAAATCATGTGCTCAGCCAAAATAATAAAATATAATAAAGCATCTAAAATCACTTAGCACTTTGTAAAATAAAACAAGTCTTGCCTTGTAGGCAATGAATTCTAAGATTTATGACAAACATATTCGGGGGGAAAAGGAAAGGAAAAAAATTATGTTGTACGGAAATGTTACCATGTCAAAATGTTTATCTAACAGATCACTCTGCAAGTTGCCTTCTGCATCTTATTCACAAAATTGAGAAAGAGGTATCAGTCTGGACTTTCAATTTGGGAAATGGAGTCCAAAGTCAGAGGAGGGACACTGACTTACGTGTTGGGGCGGGGGATATATATATATATATATATATATACATACATACATACATATACATATACATACATATACATACATATACATACACATATACATATACATATACATATATGTGTGTGTGTGTGTGTGTGTGTGTGTGTTGGAAGTTGGTGGCTGCCATGTCAATTAGGCTGTGAATCTGTTCTGCATTTTAGTCTAGATTTTAGCTAAGGCATTCAGGATCCTGGATTTATTCTGGATACAAGGTTGAACACTTTTGTAGCTCCCCCAGACTGAAACCTGGAGTAGGTTCATTAGTCCCACCAGAAGCCACCAGCTATTACCACCAAAAACGTATGCCAGATTTCTGTAACCTAAGTTTGATACTTCAAAAAGCAATGTATTCTTCATTGGACATTTTTACAAGCAAGATGTTACTAGTTATTAACATATAACACTACTATATGTTACTAACATTACTAACATAATGTTGTCAATATTTGTTTGTTTGTTTAATACTGAAATTTACAGAACTTTGCAAAAATGTAATTTCTGCAATAAAGAGTGCGACCCATTATGCAATAAAAGCCTACTATTTACCATTGTTTCATTAAAACATGTTAATATATTTACCCCGATTCAAAGTTCTGAAGACCATTAGTTGGGTCAAGATATTATTGGGGGCATCAAACATTCCACATTGCCATGGCTTTGTAAAACAACTGAGTTTTCCTATGTTTTACACATGTTCCTGATCTTGAATCTCTACGAAAAATTAGCTTTCTAAGATAACACAGTTGCATTTAAGATGAAGACAACTCATTGAGTAGGGTTTTTTTTTTTGTCAGTTTGACTTCACATGAGTTTTCTAAATATCTCCTTAGTACTAAGTGTTAAAATTTGGGAGGAAACATACATCTCCCTGGCTAAGCTAAAACACCAATTGCTCTTTTTTTTGGCAGAGGTATTGTCTCCACTGCTAAACCTCATATTATTGTATAAGCTGATGTTCAGCAGTGTAGCTTGGACCACCAGTGATCCACAAGAACTAAAATGTGGTCCGCAACCTCACCATTACTATACTGTTGCCTTGAAACCATGCAACAACAGGAGTGACTGATATCATGAAACCCTCTTATAGTGCCAAAACATCAGGGATATTGGGAGGGGGAAAAGATTACTACTACCACATCATTCCTATATTGTTAAATATGGTTTTCTGTGGGCGAGCAGATGGCGTCCACTAGATGGTATATGTTCTGTATCGGAAGCTAGAGCTGGTGTGGTCTATCCAATGTAACTTTCTAAATCAGCACCCCAAATAACCAAACCGAATCTAAAGTTGACCAAAAACTGATTCATAATCCTTTTGGTACTAATGTTGGAGAGTGGTCCCTGGTCAAGTGGTCCCTGGTCAGAAAAAGGTTGGGAACCACTGGTGTAGCATTTCCCTGGCATAAGAATGCATTGACAAGTGAAGTTATAGATATCTGCTTGATATGCAAATCATGCCCATACAGAAGTTGTTCTTTAAACATTGGCACAATGTATTGTTTGAAGTTGGTGAGCACCTCTGACATGGTTGGACAGAGGGATTAAAGCATGCCTTCATAAGTGCAGTCCTCCGGAGTTCATGTTGGAAGTGCAATGATATTAAGTGGACCAAAATGAAAGGATTCTGCCCGTAGCCTCTGTTCTTCTCAGAGTAGATCAGGCATGGACAACAGGTGGACGACTCATATGAACATGTCCAGTCCAGTCCCATTTTCCCTACGTCCAACTCATTATATTCCCACTGGGAATCATGATGCAAGGGGTGCATGTCTCTTATTATAATCATACTACTGGTAAGGTACTGGTAGATCCATTCTGCTGGGGAATAAGTTCTTCAAAAACCTTGCTTTTCAAGATTTAGAGCCACAAGTCCCTTAAACTAAAAATAGCCAGAAATTAACTTCTATGCATAATAAGATTCATTTTTTCCCTCATTTTTACAGATTTCTGAGCTTTGTGCAGCCAACTGTAGGTGGTGATGGTGAAAAATTGGCTCACACAGCCTCTCAATTTCTACACTGATTTACACACTGGCTCTGCAGGATTTAGATTAGAAGTCTTTCACTGTCCTACTTAGGATGCCAAATATTGAGCCTGGGTCTTTTATGCATGCAGAGCATGATTCTGCTGCTTAGATCAACATGCCCTGGCTGGCTCAAGTAATGATTGTAGTCTTCAACAGCCTTACTGTTTCGATCTCCTTTCATTATGATCATATTCTGTTTTTCTTTACATAAAAGCCCAGGCATCATTCCTCCTTAAGGATTAAAAATATGTATTATGTGCCTCTAAATTATGATCTACTGTAAGCTGAGAAATATGTGGCCCTCAAGATAGGTTGAACTAAGCTCCTTAAATTCGTTACCACCAGTTATGCTGCCTATATTTTACAGGAGGTGCAGTTCAACAATAGCTAAAGAGCCTCCCTACCCTAAGGCTTCATAAACAGTTAGTAGAAGTGCAAAGGGATCTTCTAACACATTTGAGATGAACCTAGCAAAAGAATTTATAGCATAGCCTTTTGTAAACAAACTTTTTGTACATTTTCTATCTCTCAGACTCAAA